GTGTGTGTGTGTGTGTGTGTGTGTGTGTGTGTGTGTGTGTGTGTGTGTGTGTGTGTCACTTTAACACTGTGTCACAGGTATTAGGAACGTCGGCTTTTATTTTCTCTGTTTCGTCCCAGAAGCTGAGAGACGATCAGCCTGAAGCTCAGAACCACAGATCCTCTGGACTGAAGGCTTCCTGATGGACAGACACTGGAACCGGTCCCAAACTGGAACCGGTCCCAAACTGGAACCGGTTCCAACTGGTTAACTCCATCAGGTCAGACCGCCAGCCGGGTCCAGTCACAGCATCAGACTCTCTGTTCTGTTTGTGGCGCTCTGCTCAGCTGCAGCATCTCATTCCTCCATGATTCATATCTGATGCTGCCAGCTGAGGGTTGCCGTGCCGACGGAGCCGTTCATCCAGACCTGAATTCACCATCACACCGTCTGCAGGTCTGAGCTGAGTGATGATCCGTTTATTCAGTCCTTTGGTTTGAAGCATCTGGTGACAGAAACATCAGATTAGATCAACATTGTTAATTCAATGAGCCAATAAACTATTTTTCACGTCATCAGACTGAAAATGAAAAGTTAAAATGTGGCAGAATTTGTCTGTCTTTGGCACATGCAGGAGTTTCAGCTGGCAGATTTTTCTCCGGCCCAGGCGGGGGGTTAAAGGTCACCAGAGATGTTTACGGGAACGTCCCATGGAGAGCTTCCAGAACCTTCCGGGCTCCACTGAACTCATTAACTGCTGCAGCTCCGTCCAACTCGCCTGAGAACTCGGAGGATTCTGGGTTTCAGTAGGAGAGACGAGGGAAACACGGCAGAGAGTCAGATGGGGAAACACTGGAGGCAGAGAAACTCGCTGCAAACGGAACTCAGTTTAATTCAAAATAGGTTTTTTTTCCAGAAAACTCGAAAGCTTTATAGGTTTTATGGGTTGAAAGCTAAAAAAATGACATCTTTAAATATTTAATGATCTGATTGATAAGTGATCGTTCAGCACCATGGACAGCAGCCACTCCAGTCCAAACTGGACCAGATGTTCATAAACCAGTGAACCCAGTTCAACAGATACTGAGATCCAGTTCATTAAGGAAACATGTTGCTGTTAGCGGTTAGCAGTTAGCTATCCGTCTATCAGCTTCCTTCACCTGATCACCACACTGCCACGCTCAGGCAGCCATCTTTACTGAGGCAGCCATCTTTACTGCGGCGGCCATCTTTACTGAAGCGGCCATCTTTACTGAGGCGGCCATCTTTACTGCGGCGGCTATCTTTACTGCGGCGGCCATCTTTACTGAGGCGGCCATCTTTACTGCGGCAGCCATCTTTACTGAGGCGGCCATCTTTACTGCGGTGGCCATCTTTACTGTTGTAAACAGAGCGCTGCAGCGTGTTCTTCTTCCGTCGGTCTCTTAAACGCACCATGGTGTGAAATAGCAAGCTGATTTGTTCAGATTATCTGAATCTGAATTCTCTCTGTCGTTTTCCAGGAACAGCCTCCTCTCTCCTCTCTCTGCTTCTTCCTCCTGCTGCTCTAGAGTCGTGCATGACCTGCGTCGTTAACTCGTCTCTGTTCATCCTGGTCCAGGTTTCCTCCTGTTCATCCTGACACAAAACAGTCAAACCTGAAACTAAATGAACTGAGTTATACAGTTTAATCAGTCTGAGAGGCAACCGAGCCTCAGCTGACACAGATCCACCCGGGTCGTGTCTGTTTGGCCACAGACTGAACCTGAACGTCTCATCGGTCAGAACCTGAGAGCCCGGCTGCAGTCAGGATGCAGATCAGCATAACGGATTCAGTCAGAACGACTGAGAAAAACGTCTGAACGTGGAGAAAGTCAAGACAGAAAAACTATCAGGAGGCTCATGGACTCGATCCTCACAGGATAAAACCAGAACTGAGCTTAAAGTGATGTTGGGTCAGAACTTTCTCTGGACTAATTAAAACTTTTCTCTAGTTTGTGGTAGAAAATATAAAATATGAATCTGATTTCATACCTGGAAAGTCCTCTGGTTCACCTGTTTGGTGGATCAAAGTTCATTTAATTTGTGTTTGGTGAGGTTTACTTTCACTTTCTTACAAGCTGAGTATAATTTATGATCAAAGCGGATGACGACCTCTGCTCCTATTGGACAGAAATGATGGGAGGGCGGGACAAAGAAGGAAACAAACATGGAAGATCTGCTGCTGCTTTAGGTTCTGGACATTTTATTATAACTGGAAAAGCATTTTGAAGTGAAGCAGCAGAACAGAGGAGAGGAGTGAAGAAGAACTAAACATAAAACAATATCTGAAAAAATAAAAGCCTAAACATCAGAACGCTTCATTAGTCCAGCTGAGATCCGGCTAGTCTCGTTCTTAAATGATGATGATGATGATGATGATGGGCGCTGGATTCCTCTCCCTCATTACAGAAGGTCGGCCGTGGCCTCCAGAACCACGAGGAGACGGACAGGAAGTGGAGCAGAAAGAGCCGTGTCACATCCTGAAGCCTCGTCACGACCCCTGACCTCACCGTTTAATTAAGGCGGCTGTGAGTCAGGCTGCCGCTGCGCCCGTCCGCCTGGTTCGTTTATCTGCAGACACAAACAGAAACGTTCAGGAATCTCTGGGTTCAAACCGCATGTGAAAAACAACTAATGATTCAAGGTTTTATGACTCACTCAACTCAAAATCAGGAAAATGTAAAACTGGAGGAGAAATTTTATGAAAAATTCAAACTGAATCCATTTTTTCCTCCAAAGTGAGCGACTGACTTTCACTTCCTTCCTGCAAATCGGCCGTAAAATTCAACATGAGCTATCCTTCATTTACAGTAAAATATGAATGAATTAACATCAGAAAACCTCAGGATTTCTGAATCCTGACTCAGAGATCAACATGAAGGGCTGAGGAGAGTTTGTGGGGCGACAGAATCCGTCTGGACCGGAGCAGCTTCAGCTTCAGACGGGAATCTGAGCAGCAGAACCAGCAGCGGGATGAAGTGAGGAATCACTTTTATTCATCGGCAGGTCGGAGCCCAACGATCTGCAGGAAAGGAAGGGAGGAATGAGACTTCCTGGTCTGAAGGAAATGATGTCACTGCCCAATCAGCTGAGTTTGAATATGCAGGAAGAGCATGATGTCATTTCCTGTAAACGTTTTAAAAGTCCTCCAGATCCTGACCTGGGGTGGTTTCTCCACTGCCAATCAACAAACCAGATAAACAAACTGGATTGAACTGAATCATAGTTTTAGACTTTATATTTTATACTTTTCAGAACAAGCAGTTTGTTTCTCATTCCGTTCGTAGCATCGATTTGCGACCTGACAATATTTCACCTGGAGAATCAGAAAACATGAAACATCCAGTAGTTTGTTGTCTTCAGGCCAAATGACAGCAAATAAGTTTAACTTCAGGGGAAATTCACATTTTTACTAAAAATAAACCAAAGCAGAATGATCCCAGATTCCCTTCCACTAAATATTTCATTTATTATCTGATTGTTGTTTTAATCTTGGTCTTAATCCAAACGCTGTCCAATCTGCTCCTGCAGCTTGTGAAACTCTGCAGAGCTGGAATGAAGACGAGCCGCAGCCTGATGAGAGGAATGCTTACAGAGAATAGATAACAGATGTGATGGTGAATTATTTATTTCTGTCACTGCAGAGAGGGAGAGCGGAGCGCCGTCAGCGGCAGCCCCAACTCTGTCACTCCTAATAAACCGTGGCAGCCTGGTGACTAATTAGCTATAATTTTACTCATTGGGGCTGGAAGGGATGTTTGAAGCTGCGGCCGAGTCGCAGCGCCGCTGCCAGGAGGAACATCACAGCCAGGCTGCCATCGGCCTGCAGGAACCTCCGGCTGACCTCTGACCTCCATCAGCCTCATTGACGGTTCTGATCCAAACCCGGCAGGAGTCATGAGACCGGGCCGAAGGAACGGGTCTGCAGCATCAGCAGGTTTTAGTTCTGGTTCAGGTTCTG